ACAGGTCCATCTCGCTTTGTTTTCAAGCGAATGTGCAGTTCGTATTTGCGGACAGTAGGTTCGCGGCCGACTTCGATCGCTCGGATATATCTGTAAGATGTCAATGTCTAATCATCCACGGATCCCGGTCGGACATGGGAGACAAACCGCATGGCATCACAGAGCGTAAACTGCGGCATATCCTTCAAATCCTTTTGTCTGAATGTCTGCGGGCCTCTGCGGCTCTTGCTAGGCTGCTCCTTGCCCTTGCCCTTGCCCTTTGACTTGAGGCCTCGAACCTGCTGGAAGCTGGAGAGAACGGGGCCAATTGAGGGCCCTCGTAGCGGAACACGACATGATGAGAGAATTCCGCGTGCCGTCGTAGGCAGGACGGAGCCGAAGGACGACATGGCTGGCAATCGTTGATCTGAGCTGAACAGCCAGACGATGCAATTGTTTTCTGCCGGAAAGCTTTCGGGTCGGAGAAACGTGAGACCGCACGGGCATGTAAATAATGCCTCTGCCCCGCCAAAACTTCACCATTGTCACTCACTTTCTGCGCAATGACTCAATACGAGCTGAAGGTGGCCACTCGTGCCAACCACTCGGCAGTTCTGCCCGTGGTCCTTATCGCAACCTCAATCAACGAGGCTCGTCCTACTCCGGTTATCAGCATTTCCTACGAGGACACTGCCCTCCTCCAGGATGGCGACAAAGCCGTTGTGCAGCTCATCAACGGCACCAACAATGTCTTTGGTACTATCAATGTCATCCAAAGCCTTACTGAGCACTTCCCCTTCTTGACTGGCAAGGATGCCAAGGCTGTAAGCTTTGCAATTACCCCGTCCGAGTCCGAGTCTACATAGCTTGCGGCCCTAACACAGTTTATAGGAAAATGAGTGGATCTCTCAGTTGGATTCGTTGACCACCTTCGATTTCAAGGCTCTCGACCCCGTTCTCCAGCGCATTGACACCCACCTTCTCTTGCGTTCTTTCATTGTCGGATACTCTCTGTCTACGCCCGACATCGCTCTCTGGGGTGCTCTCCGCGGCAACCGAGTCGCCGTTGCTGCTCTGAAGAAGGGTACCCTTGTTAACATTACCCGTTGGTTCCGTTTCCTTGAGGAGCTTTGCCCCTGGACCTCCGTGGCTCTCGAATCCTTGAACGCTGCTGCCAAGGAGAAGAAGACCGCCAAGTCTAAGGAGGGTGCCAGCTATGACATTGCTCTTAAGAACACCGAGAACGGGGTTGTTACCCGCTTCCCTCCCGAACCTTCGTAGGTTGCCTGCAGTTGAAATTGTTCGGTCTCCGACTAACGCATATCTAGTGGATACCTCCACATTGGTCACGCTAAGGCTGCTCTTCTCAACGATTACTTTGCGCATGAGAAGTACAACGGCACTCTTCTTCTGCGGTAAGCTCAGCCACCGGAAAGCGCAAACAAAACATTCAGAACTAATCGGTCTGTAATAGATTCGACGACACCAACCCCTCGAACGAGAAGGAAGAGTTCCAGGACGCCATCGTGGAGGATCTTGCCCTTATGGGTATCAAGCCTAACAAGATGACCTACACCAGTGACTATTTCGACGAGCTGTACAACTACTGTCTCAAGATCATCAAGCAGGGCGACGCCTATGCTGATGACACCGATAAGGAGACTATGGCCGCTCAGCGTTTCGACGGTCTTCCTAGCGCCCGTCGTGATCTTTCCGTCGAAGAGAGCTTGTCGCGCCTTGAGGAGATGAAGAACGGCACCCCCGAGGGTGTTCGCTGGTGTATTCGTGCTAAGATTTCCTTTGATTGCCCTAACAAGGCTATGCGTGACCCGGTCATCTACCGCTGCAACCCTGCTCCTCACCACCGTACCGGCACCAAGTGGAAGATCTACCCTACCTACGACTTCGCTTGCCCTATTGTCGATTCGATGGAAGGTGTCACCCATGCTCTCCGTACTATTGAGTACCGTGACCGCAACCCGCAATACCAGTGGATGTTGGATACGATGAAGCTGCGCACCGTTCAGGTTTGGGATTTCGCCCGCATGAACTTCATTCGCACCCTTTTGTCCAAGCGGAAGCTCACTAAGCTGGTTGAGGCTGGCGTCGTCTGGGGCTGGGATGATCCCCGTTTCCCTACCATTCGTGGTATTCGCCGCCGTGGTATGACCATTCCTGCTCTTCGTGAGTTCATCCTGAAGCAGGGCCCCTCTAAGAACATCGTCAACTTCGACTGGGCTCTTATTTGGGCCACTAACAAGAAGTATATTGACCCGATTGCTGGTCGCCACACCGCTATCTCTAACAAGAACGTTGTGAAGACCACTGTCACTGGTTCCCCCGCCCCGTACTCGGAGGAGAAGCCTAAGCACGCCAAGAACGCCGCTGTCGGTATGAAGAAGGTTGTCTTCGGTCCTTCTATTGTGCTCGAGCAGGAGGACGTCAAGCTCTTCAAGCAGGACGAGGAGATCACCCTCATGAACTGGGGCAATGCCTTCGTTCGCAAGATCACTACCGATACTGCCACCGGTATCATCACCGACCTCGAGCTTGAGCTGCACCTTGCAGGTGATGTTAAGAAGACCGAGAAGAAGGTCACCTGGCTCGCCACCGAGCAGGACGTCGTCCCCGTCGAGCTTGTGGACTTCGACTACTTGCTTAATAAGGACGCCATGGCCGAGGATGATAAGCTCGAGGACTGTCTCAACTCCCAAACGGAGTTCCGCGACGCTGGTGTTGCTGATTGCAATGTTGCCGATCTTAAGGTCAACGACATCATCCAGTTCGACCGCAAGGGCTACTACCGCGTTGATCGGGCTTACTCTCCTGGCTCGCCGGCCGTCTTCTTCAACATTCCTTCCGGAAAGACCAAATAAATGAAATGTGCGAGTATGGGAAGCTTGTGTTATGAGTGATCTACGAAAAGAGAAATCATGAGTCAATGAAGAGTTATATATAACATTAAGCTTCTAACCTGCGTTCTCACGATTTCATCATAAAAGTAGATCGAGTATTGGTGACAGGTGTTGCAAGGGTGCAGTGTTGGCTAGGGTGCTCTCTCGCAAGAAAAGCTTAAGGGGCTAGAGGCTATCTCTCCAAGTGATAGAAAGCATGCGAACCCCACAGCATCCGTTGATTCAGTAGAAGACGGCAAGTAATACAACCTGCGGCCAATATAATTGGATAGCTCTGCCTTTTGGCGTCTGTAATGTACTAGCGAGATACCTGGAAAAACAGGCAAGCCCAAGAGAAAAAGAAAACAAATCTGCTGCCAGGAATCGTCAGGCAGAAACCTAGGAAGTCACGTGTCAATATCAAAAGTGGAGCCCGACATCCCCTTCATCAACAAGTTTAACCCTAACCTTTGCAACACTCCGTCGGAAATACCCTAGTGGTAAAACACGACGTTTGACAGTGTTAGGCCGTACCGTGCGGAGGGAACGCAGTTCCAATTCCTGCAGATCGCCCCGGTAGATCCCGATGGGGTGCCTCCTCTTTCCCTTTTGCTTTTTTTGAGGTTTCGTTGTTGGTTATCGTGCCCATCTAGTTGATCCATCGGAATGGCTACTGCGTGGCTGTGCCTGCCGAGGTCATCGAGATGATGATTCTCAAGATCCGGACGACCTCTTCCGAAGACACATTCGCGCAGCAAGTCCCCCAGCGTCTCATTTATCATGGCTAGGTGGTGTGGAATATCGCTAGTACATTGCAAATGTCCCCAAAGGCATACCTCTTCACTCATACTGGCCCCACATCGTATTGAACGCCCGTCTTCTAGGGAGTCATCACCAGCAGATGAGATACTGTATGCATCGCATGGTTTCTATTACTTGGCTCTGGCTACCGTAACTCCGTAACTATGTGTATAAAGCGAGTCTAACCACATACGTCGAGCTGGCCTTCCTGCGTGCCACTGGCTTCGGGATCACAGCAAGGGCTAGTCGGGGTTACGTGTGGGGAGTGGGGTGTGACTGCCTCTCTTTTTACTTCTCGTCCTGCTTTTTATCATGGTGCTGCCAAATATCTCCCATTCTTTCTCAATTCTCGTTCATCAGGAGCCTGGTATGGACAGGATTTTGTTTCCGCTTGCCGGGTGTCAGCGGAACAGGTCGAGCATGACGTCGAGAACTGTACTCCAGTCTCCATCGACATCCGGGCAGCCGCTGACATCCTGAGAGAGTCCAGTGGTTCCGATTTCATGGGCTCAGTTGATTGTTCTTGACCAAATTTGGGGATCTTATCTGCCATTCAGAGAGTCTGAGCGTCCAAAGCCCAACAGTCATCGCAGAGTTAAACTCATCCCGCAAGCTAGCATCCATGTCGACAGCAATATACAGCAATGCTTGCATCTTCTGGGAAGCTTCCAAGCCTGAATCTGCTGCTTTCCGGGGTCCTACCGATGGAACACGGCTGATGACCCGTGGGCCAACGACTCAATGGCCTTGGCTCGAAGTCAATTGAGGTGCCTGCTGGCGTCCCGAGCTTTGTTTACTGCACAGAAGAACGAAACGTTATACATGTCGCTTGTTTGATAGGCCGAACCAGTATTTCGGATGTTGACATTCTCCTGGGTTTCTTTGAATGACCCTCGGCTGGTCCCTTACGACACCTCCCACTCCAAATATCAAGTGCCGAAATCCAAAACAATGAGCATACAATGCAGATGTTCCTGCCGAAACCTTCCTTGTCGCGACGTCAGCATGATAGAGTGCGAAAGGGGAATGGCTGCGGTAGGTAAGGATTCTTCTCCCTCTCTGGAACGTTGAGGAACATCATTCCCTGCCCCTCGAAATACTCACAGGATAGGTTTCTCGTCTTGTCAGCTTGCAGGTGTTGAAGGGTAACAAACAACTGGGAATATTTTACCCTCCTTTCGTGTCTCCTTGTTTGCTATTCCTCTTCATTTCCCTTTTCAGGCAATCTTTCTTCGTCAAGCGCCATCTTCACTCAACGACCTCTCGCCAGCGACTTGACCCGGACTGATCATCGACATCCAAGCATTCTGACCTCATTCACCTAGCATGGCGTCTATTCCAGATGTCGAGCGGCCTGACGTACGCCGGAGCTCCCGCATTTCCCGGGCGTCTCTGAACCAGGACTGGGCCAATCTAGATGAGTATGGCAAGCTTGTCAAATATGTGTCTACTTTCCGTGATGCAAACGCAGAAGCCCAAGATGAAGGCGATTTTGTGGAGAAACGAGTCTGGTATGCCCCATGGAAGAAGCGGAAGGTTCATATCAAAAAGCTCGAGGGCGAATCTGGCAAGTTTCCTGAAGAATGGACCTTGACCGATATTCGTGAGGGTCTGTCCAGCGAAGAAATTCCACGGCGCCGTCAGCGGGCTGGTTGGAACGAATTGTCATCTGAGAGGGAAAATCCTATTGCCAAGGTTCTTTCTTACTTCCGGGGTCCAATTCTATATGGTGAGTGCCTTGTTTTTGCGTGTTAGCAATATGGCTGACTTGGTGGTAGTCATGGAGTTGGCTGTTTTACTCGCTGCTGGTCTGGATGACTGGGTCGATTTTGGTGTCATAATCGGTATCTTGTGCCTTAATGCCACTGTGGGTTGGTATCAGGAGAAGCAGGCTGCCGATGTGGTTGCAAGTCTCAAGGGAGATATTGCCTTGCGAGCACAGGTCATTCGTGATGGTGCTCAACAGGAATGTCTCGCGCGAGAGTTAGTTCCAGGTGACGTGGTGTGTCTACCCGCAATTCTCTATTCATGTCTGTATACTCATGACTGCTTCAGATCATTGTTGGTGAAGGCTCAGTGGTGCCTGCTGATTCCAAGGTTATCTGTGACTTCAATGATCCCAACGGCTGGGAAGAGTTCAACCAGCTTCAAGAACAGGGAATGCTCGGCGGAGGCTCTGATTCTGAAGATCAAGATGAAGAGGCAAAAAAGGCTGTGGAGGAAGTGAATCAAGGTGATGGCAAATCCAAAGAAGAAAATGGAGGAGGAGAGGAAGAAGAACCAACACCTCCTCGCAGACGTGGCTATCCCATTCTGGCCTGCGACCACTCTGCCATTACAGGAGAATCCCTTGCTGTGGATCGTTATATGGGGGATATGATATTCTATACAACCGGATGCAAGCGTGGCAAGGCCTACGCGGTAGTTCAAACTGGCGCAAGAACTTCTTTTGTCGGCCGCACCGCAACAATGGTGCAATCTGCACAAGGCGCCGGTCACTTCGAACTTGTCATGGACAATATCGGAACTTCTCTTTTGATTCTTGTCATGGCTTGGATTCTTGCCGCATGGATTGGTGGATTCTTCCGACATATTCCCATTGCTTCGCCTGGTCAGCAGACTTTGCTTCACTACACCCTGTCTTTGCTCATCATCGGTGTGCCTGTTGGTCTTCCGGTTGTGACCACTACTACCATGGCTGTTGGTGCTGCTTATCTGGCGAAGAAGAAAGCCATTGTGCAAAAGCTGACTGCGATTGAGTCCCTGGCAGTAAGTCTCCCCCATTCATGTTAGCCTGTTCCCAATACTAATCACAAGCAGGGAGTTGATATCCTTTGTTCTGATAAGACTGGAACCCTGACTGCGAACAAACTGAGTATTCGAGATCCCTACGTGGCCGAAGGTGTCGATGTTGACTGGATGTTTGCGGTTGCTGCGCTTGCATCCTCGCACAATATTGAATCTCTTGATCCAATCGATAAAGTCACCGTATTGACTCTCAGGCAATACCCTAAGGCACGAGAGATCATGCGCCGCGGCTGGAAAACCGAAAAATTTACGCCGTTTGACCCAGTATCCAAGCGGATTGTTACAGTTGCTGTCTGTGACGGTGTACGGTATACATGCACCAAGGGCGCTCCGAAAGCAGTGCTTCAGCTGACGAACTGTTCTAAAGAGACAGCTGAGTTATACAAGACTAAAGCTCAGGAATTCGCACACCGAGGCTTCCGCTCTCTTGGGGTTGCCGTTCAGAAAGAAGGGGAAGATTGGGTTCTACTTGGAATGCTGCCTATGTTCGATCCCCCTCGAGAAGATACCGCTCATACAATCAGCGAAGCACAGAACCTTGGTATCAGCGTGAAGATGCTCACGGGAGATGCCATTGCTATTGCAAAGGAAACCTGCAAGATGCTGGCATTGGGAACTAAGGTGTATAACTCGGACAAGCTTATTCACGGCGGTCTCAGTGGAGCCATGGCCAGCGATCTTGTCGAAAAAGCTGATGGCTTTGCAGAGGTGTTCCCAGAGCACAAATATCAAGTCGTGCAGATGCTGCAGGAGCGAGGCCATTTAACCGCCATGACCGGAGACGGAGTGAACGACGCACCGTCTCTCAAAAAAGCCGACTGTGGCATTGCCGTCGAAGGAGCATCCGAAGCTGCGCAAACTGCATCAGACATTGTATTTCTCGAGCCTGGATTATCGACCATTATTGACTCGATCAAGGTCGCGCGTCAAATCTTCCACCGCATGAAGGCGTATATCCAATATCGCATTGCACTTTGCTTGCATCTCGAAATCTACCTCGTAACTTCGATGATCATTCTTAATGAAAGCATTCGTGTCGAGCTCATTGTCTTCCTGGCTTTATTCGCCGATCTCGCAACGGTTGCTGTGGCCTACGATCATGCCTCCTTTGAACTGAGACCTGTTGAATGGCAACTCCCAAAGATCTGGTTCATTTCGTGTTTGCTAGGTGTACTCCTCGCCCTGGGTACGTGGGTTGCACGAGGAACAATGTTCCTCAAAAACGGAGGCATCATCCAAAACTGGGGTTCCATTCAAGAAGTTCTCTTCTTGGAAGTGGCGCTCACGGAGAATTGGCTCATTTTCGTGACACGCGGGATTGACACTTGGCCATCCATCCACCTAGTAACCGCGATTCTGGGTGTGGATACTCTGGCCACGATCTTCTGTCTTTTCGGTTGGTTCAGTAACGAGGATATGAAGACCAAACCAGCAGACAAGTTCGTCGAGACGAGAAATGGGTGGACTGATATCGTTACTGTCGTACGAATTTGGGGCTATTCCCTTGGGGTGGAGGTTGTCATTGCCTTGGTATACTTCGTTCTGAACAAAATCAAATGGCTCGACAATCTTGGTCGTGCTCAGCGCGACAAGGGGGAGATGAAGATTGAGAATATGCTCGCGCACTTGTCTCGTCTAACCCTTGAGTATGAGGAAGCAGGTAAGCCGAAGGGCCGGTTCTGCTTGACGGCAAGCAAGGAGGAAGGGGAGGCTGAGTGAGTGGGTTGGGTATTGCAGTATCAATGCGTCTATTTAGTCTCTTAATAGTTGTCACTGGTCTTTTGAGCGTGGGAATGATGTTTGGGCTGGCATTCAAGGAAAAGGAAGCGAAGTAGAAAGCGTGTCTTGCTTAATCTCTAATATGGTCAACTGATTTTAATGTTTCTTATGGACCTCAAATACCTTTAATTCGTTGAGCTCACCTAATATGACTTATTTTCAGGGAGAAACCACCTGGGCATCAAGCGAGTGTACTTGTAGCAAAACAGTTGATGGTATGAAAAAGAAGAGAAATAATATAATTAGAATACTATGGGTATCATAGAGAAAGGAAATATAAGAGAGAGAAAATTAAGGTTAAACAGCATGAGACATTGGGAGTGCCAAAAGATGCCAAAAGGAGAAGAGAATAGAAAGAAGCGGAGGGAAAATCGTGACATCTCCTTATATGATCACTCATATCATTCATATCATTCATATCACACTCCAGGCATGCAAGGTGCGGCAATATCAACTATGCCATGGGTATAGTTGCTCGCCCTGGATACCTCTAACGAACCTAAGCGCGGTTACGCAGAGCACGTCGTAGATTATGATTAGGGCCCATCTTCTGAAGTTCCATCCTTTGAGGTCCTATTTGCTTAGGACCCATACGTCCCACAGCCTTAGGTCCCAGGTGATCGGCGACACTGTGGGCAAAGCGATGAGTCGCAGCGTCTAACTGCTTAGGTCCCTCGGCCTTAGATCCTAGGTGATCGGCGAAACTGTGGGTAGCGCGATGATTCGCAGCATCTAGTTGCTTAGGTCCCTCGGCCTTAGGTCCTAGGTGGTCGGCGAAACTGTGGGCAACGCGCTGAGTCGCAGGTCCCATTTGCTTAGGTCCCATAGGTTCCACGGCCTTGGGTCCCAGGTGATCGGCGAGACTGTGTGTAACGCGATGAGTCGCAGCGTTGGCTGTGCGAAGACCACCCAGCAAGCCCAAGAGATCAGTGCTAAGGAGGCTGGAAATCAACCCATCGGTGTCATCAGGGTCACTGCTGGTGGTGGGAGAGGGAGCTGGGGGTGCCTCGGAAGAAGTAGGGGCATCTGCAGGGGGTGCGGTCGTCTCTGGGGGTGCGGTCGTCTCTGG